TGGCCGCCATGTTTTAGTTTCAATTCCTCACAGCGAATCGGCGATCGCGAAGAGGGAGTTCCGCTTCTATAAGTGTAGAATTCTGTGGCAACTAGAGATCTAGATCCAGTACAATTGCGGTCCCATTTAGGGATACTCGTTTTGACTCCACCAAGGATTACTTCTGGTTCTAAACTATTATTTTTTTACGTATGTGCGATAGGCCTATGGAGAGATAGCAATCAAACCTAATTAGTAATTGCATAACATCAAATTATGGTCAAATTCAGGAGGATTCAGCATGCCCCCCTTAAACCCCCCATGGGCAAGCCCACCCTGAAACCCCCCATGGGCAAGCCCACCCTGAAACCCCCCATGGGCAAGCCCACCCTGAAACCCCCCTTACTTTGTTCAATCCAATGAAATTTTACAGCTCATTTTGTACGCTAGATCTAGTTCTAGATCCAGATCTACTGATAAAACATTGATACCGAATATCTAAATCAGTATCGATGGTAAGAGTAAGATTGAAGAATACCGGACCAGCGGACTGACTTTGCCTGTCTCAACCTTAGGAATTCATGATTTTCCCAGTTTTTATCTCTCAATGGAGAATCTCGGACTGGTAGATCTATTCATTAAAATTTTGTCAGGGGGGGGACCCCTCTGAACCCCCCCACCCCCTCCTCCACCCGCCCCACATTCTCGCGCAATAATGTATACGAGTGGTCCGGTATTCTTCAATCTTCCCCCCGACTTAGTCTTTGCTTACAATAATGTGATTTGGTGCTAGATAACAAAAATCTAGATTAGATCTAACGGGACCGCAATTGTACTGGAGTGCCCAGAAGAGCCATGGATCTATTGACTATTGACAGGCGTGACACTAGTGAATAGCCACTATAAGATCCTTTGACCCTGCATCCCCAAGCAGTGCATCTGTGTGCAGGACTGAAAGTAAATTGAAAGTAAAAATGTACAAAAGTTTTTAAGTGGGAACCTGAAGCACAGGCACCACAATTTAAACGCAGCTCTAATCAGTAGGCTAATTAGATATAAATCAAAGCCCCATAGAGTAGAGGCCTCAGGAGAGTCCTCATCCACGCCCCAAATCAACGACCATCAAAGTAGATTCTATGCCATGATCTGATATATGATTCATAGCTCTAAAGAATCTAATCTATATCTAGATTCTAGATCTTCGAAAGGACAAAGTTCATCTAAAAATCTAGTAAAATCTAGATTCTAGAGATCTCTAATTTGACTTTAACAGATCTCGAAATTCTGACCAAAGTCTAAAGTTTAACTTTTTTGGTCAACTCTTAACTTAAAGAGGCCCTAAACCGTTTTTCTCTGTTCTTCCTTAATTCACGACAACGCATTTCAATCTAGATTCTAGATTTGTCTAGATCCAAGATCTAGAATCTAGATAGATGTACAGATCTAGATCTATTCCCAAAGGATTTTTAAATTACCTTTGTCGAATATTCACCGTCTTCACTCTGCACTCTGCACTCAGCACTAGGCCTGGGCAGAAACCGAATAAATTATTCGAATAACCGAATACGAGCCCAAAACTAGGTCTCCGGTTAATTTTTCCAAAAACTAG